AAATATGGTAAATCTAAGATGATTTTATCCATGATACTCTCCGATCGAATGTTACTCAGAAAAAGAGAATGTAAATTCACCAATTGACGAAGTTCTAAACCATGTGAAAAAAATTCATCGATTTGTCCCGGTGTATCATCATCATCGGACAGACAAAGTGAAGTTATTCGATCCAGCATACCTGGCAAATATTCTTGAACAATAATATCAAAATCAAGCTTCGATATCGATCGAAAATCCAGATGAGAATTTCGAAAATATTCAAGAATAAGTTCATCGAGACGAATATTCAGACCATGAAATGCATGATAAATATGTGATGTTGAAAGATATTTAAATACTTCGAGAAATAATTCGTTTGCTAACGATTCAAAAGACATCACTGTTTTTGCGTTCTTTGTCACTATCAACATGAAAGGAAAACAAAATGACGCTGTTCTTGTACGCTTTGCTTGCGTAATTACTGGCTGATTCAAAGCGACAAAGACGATATGTATGCTTGACATCAATAAGGTAATGACTCAAGAAATACAAAACTTTCGCAAATACTTCTGTATCTTTTAGAATTTCACTGGTTTTATTCAGAAAAAAAACTCGGAAAAAATACAATCCACATGTACACGTTTCACCTCAATACCATACGCTTCGACAAACGTGAATGTGTAAAAGCAAATCGAGGCCAATACTCAATTTCATTTTTGCTTTTTTCGTTCTTTACGCTACCATTTTTTTCGGTGTGGAGAGACACTAAGAAGCAGTACACCTCAGGAGTAAAAAAATGAGAATCGAAGTAAATATTGAAAAACAAGAATGGTCGTCAAAGATAAGAGGAGAAAAGAAAAGAATAGTTGTCGCACTCAGTGCACTAATCAAACGATAAAATCAAGCGCGGGGATGGTCGTTTTATCTCGGAGAGAGCAACATTCTTTGCAACAAGACACATCCGCTACACTGGAAAAAATAAAGGTAGCGGGAAGAACGAAAAAACGATTTGAGAGAGTGCAATCAGTCACGAACCCTCACACCCTCACCTCACCCTCGATGACGTGTGATAATTCGGACTAGTCATGTACTAGGACATTTTGAGACAAAGACTAGGTATGCCGTAGCGTCAGGACTAGAAAAAGGCCTAGTCTTTTTACCCGTCTTTTGTTCGCTCATAACATATATATTGGACAGTCAGCATAGATGTGTTTATTCATCTGAAAGATAAACGGACATCGTGAAACATTTTAAATGTTTCAGTAAGTGTATATCATTACGATTAGAGAGAAATATCTCTCAAAACATAAGAATGCAAACGTAGAACTGTGTGTGGGGGGGGGGGGGGGGGGGGGGGGGAAGGGGGGGGGGGGGGGGGGTACCACCAGCCCAGGG